TATTGATATTGATCAATAATATCACTATGATGTCCTCGGTCTGTGTTATTATTATTATTATTATTATTATTATTGTTATTAATAATATTATTATTATCATTATTATTATTCTTATATTATTTTTATTATTAGAGTTGTTTTTAATGATCTTCGTGGTCTTAAAGAGCGATTATAACTCAAATATAAATTATTTATTGTTAAACGTCCGACAATAATTAAATTTTTTTGTAAATAACTAGAAATTATCAACGCGATTATAAATTTTCGTAAAGAATTAAAAATATTCGTATATAATTGAAAATGGATGTATAAATTTGGAAATAATTGCAATCGGGAATCGAAAACTGAAAATGGATGTTAATATGAATGTCCCTTGCGGTCGATGGGGAGGAAATCATGTTTGAGCTGAAGGCTACGAAAGATCTTTGGAGGTCGGGTTGGGAAGGGGGAGTGGATGGGGGGGGGGGAAGGAATTTGGGGAGGAGAGATGGGAGGAGTGAGGGGAATGAAAGAGAAGGGAAGGGAACTATCAGGAGAAAGCTCCAAGCCATTACGACTATATAGCACTTGGAAAGGGTCAGGATAAGGATTTGGGATGGGAAGGGGGGCAGGAAATGAGAGAGAAAAGGAGACGAGAAAGGTGGAAAGGGAGGTGGGGGTCATAGTGGGTGTGGTAGATAATAGGAGAACGATGGGAAGAGGTGGGAGAGTACAATGAGATGAGGAATTCTGGAGGGGGATGGTGGGACAGGAGGGTGAGAGTAGGAAGGGGGGAAATGGTAATAGGTGTTAGAGGGAAGAGAGAGAGATAGAGTGGAGAGAGAAGAGGGGTGAGTTTGAGTCGGTTGAGACGAGTAAGGAGAGCCGCATGTGGCCGGATGAGCAGCTAATTAATGTGATTATGGTGCTCGGCCAGCTGGCAGTGAATCCCCCATATTAAAGTCCTTCTTGGCACATAATGTGTCAACAAAGTTATTCATACACTCCTCGTCACTAAGTGATGGAGAGCGAGAACATACGTGAATTAAGTTACAACTCTTAAACAAATGTTCCTGAAATGTATAAATATTTAATTCAAAATTACTTATTAACAGAACTTTGAGCCAAAAACCCAAAATTTGTTAACTGTAGGTGTAAATGTTGTAGACTCTAATCTTTCCACCGTTGTCCATTGGATGCAGGTAGGGGGGAAAGAGGGGGAAGGTTCCTTGATAACTAAATTAAGTTAGAACACTTGCTTACCACTAACAATTGCTTTTTATAGTGAGTGAGAAATGATTCCTGGTTGGTACATTAACCCATTGCCTGTGTTTTCAATCAATGTAATGCACGCACTTTGCTTGAGTCACGTGAGTGGAAACATTTGGGCCCGGCTCCACGTGGTCACTGGTGTTTGAAGTGTTTATAAATGCAGATTGGTTTAATTTTTAAATTATCAGGGGGAAAGCGCCAAGCCATTGCGACTGTGTGGCACTGGGAAGGGGTCGAGGTGAGGATTTGGGATGGGACGGTGGGAGGGAGTGGTGCCCCGACCACGTGTTGGGACGGTCGGGGATTGAACGCCGGCCTGCATGATGCCAGACTTTCGCTCTAGCGGCCACCCCCAATTGGCTGGGTTTAAAGTACATAGCTATAATGTAAGCAAGTAAGAACGGGATTCGTGAGTTTGTATGATGCCATTAACCCGGTCGGCCGAGCGAACAGCACACTGGACTTGTGATCCTCTGGTCCCGGGTTTGATCCCGGATGCCGGCGAGAAACAATGGGCAGAGTTTCTTTCATCTTATGCCTCTGTTACCTAGCAGTAAAATAGGTACCTGGGTGTTAGTCAGCTGTCACAGGCTGCTTCCTGGGGGTGGAGGCCTGGTCGAGGACCGGGCCGCGGGGACACTAAAGCCCATAAATCATCTCAAGATAACCTCAAGACACCGCATATATAAGATGTTTAGCTTCGAAACTGTATATAATTCTTGAACATTTTTTTGAAATCATTAATTATTAAACTGTGAACTAGCTTATCAATACTGTAACTTGTTTAGCAAAATTAATCTTTGGGTTCAGTTCCTGAGCCCATTCTGTGTCACTAACTTTTCCACTACTGCCCACAGGATGGGTATTAGGCATATAATAAGTTACCTAAGCCAAAAAAAAAAAAAAAAAAAAATGAGTCGTAAATATATATATATTTACGACTCATTTTTTAATATATATATATATATATATATATATATATATATATATATATATATATATATATATATGTATATATTTATATATATATTTATATATGTGTGTGCGGAAAATCCACAGAGAAATATGAAATGAGGTGAACGTTCACCTCATTTCATATTTCTCTGTGGATTTTCCGCATAAAATGATCAGTGTTTTGTTATCGTTAATTGCATATATATATATATATATATATATATATATATATATATATATATATATATATATATATATATATATATATATATATATATATATACAGTATATATAT